AACCTGCGACACTTTGGTTCGCAGCCCGCGCTCAATCCACTGAGCTACACCAGCCAGGGCTCACATTTGTTTTTTTAAATAATATTTTTTACTAATGTTCAAATAGGGTTGTCTCATTTTCCCACCACCACTTTCTCCCACTCCACCCACCCCCACCTCCCACCCTCAATCCTAGCCCCCTTTGGCTTTGTCCATGAGTCCTTTATACATGTTTATTGACGACCCTTTCCCTTCTTTCCCCCGTTACTTCTGTCCTCCCTCCCCTAATGTCTTCACCTTTAAAAAGCCTGATGGGAATATGGCTTTGATATGTTACTATGGTGCAGTTAACATAACCAGAACTTGCATGACAAATAGGCAACATATTCACATGCGATGACTTGGGTATCTTAAATTAGGTAGAAAGAGTGTAGCTCCAAGTCTATGCCCTGGCAAGACCCATGCACATGTGAGGTCCAGGGCACTGGGCCAGGGTTTCTTAACCCTTTAAATCCTTGCTGTCTTTGGCCAAACCTGAAAATTTCATGTGCCACCCCAGCTGGTGTGTGCCCCAGTGGATTTAGTGCCGGCCTGCAAACCAAAGGATCGTTAGTCTGATTCCTAGTCAGGGCACATGCCTGGGTTGCGGGCCAGGTCCCCAGTAGGAGGCATGATAGAGGCAACCATACATTGATGTTTCTCTCCCTCTCTCCCTCCCTTTCCCTCTCTCTAAAGATAAATAAGAACTCTTTAATAAAATTTCACATGCCTCCCCAAGCCAGAAGTTGGAATATGGCTTCCTGGGGGAGGGGGGCGGGATATAGTCTATTGTCTGATGATCTCTACCTGTCCAGAGGCTTAATTTCTGTGGCTTGTATGTCGAACAGGGTAAGGTTTTTCCCAAATGTAAAATTATTGAAAATTAAATATGCCTTTTCTAACCAACACCTCCCCCTATTCTAAAATGGCCACCCTTCAAACTGAGGATTGCTGCCCCAGAGCCAATTCTGTTCCTTCCTTTCATATTTATCTTTTCTGTTTATTCACCCTGCAAACATCTAGATCAAAAGAAACACATAGAATGTGCTAGTAAACACTTGACAGTCTGATCTTGGTGATTTGGACTCTAAGCTGAGCCTTGCCATAACTACATGTAGATCATCTAACCCACTTCACTAAATCTGGGTAAAAATATGGCCACATGCTTTTGGTTTTTTGATTGTCTGCACCTTCTTTTCTAATTATCAAGAAGTCCAGTATCTCCTTTTTGAGCCCCTCCATCCTAACTGTCTAAGAATCCTGAAAGTTTCCTCAGTTTAAAGGGAGCCAAAAAGGTAAGTCTGAGGTATCTACTGCTGCAGTTGTTTCCTGCTGCCACTTGATGTCGCTGTTGAGGAGAGGTCCTGTACCATTCAATGGAGATGGTACCTGCTTTACCCAGTTGTGGTACAAATTAAAAGGGCTGCTAATATAGTTCAAGTGCTTAGTATATAGATAGATATCCATGGTACTAAGTAGGCACTCAGAGATTTAGTTTTATGTTACTGGGCCCCAGTTTTATGCCTACCCAGAGGATCTCTGGAACCATCCCAGCTGTGGTGAATGGTGAGGAACAGGTGGAGGAGGCCTGGGTCAACTGCAGGCTGATGTAGATAGAGTCTGGAGGCCAGGGTGGACCAGTCCCTGCTCCTCTCTAAAGCCCCTGGCTGTCTTAGTCCCATTGTTCTGAGGTTGGTCTGCCTCTTGTAGGTGGAAGAGACAGAACCTGAGTAGTATAGAATTCCTCGTAAATCAAATGATTTGTTCTGGCTCAGAGAAGGAGTAGTTCTAGGGTGTTCAAACAAAAAAAAAAATACTGTCTCAGCTCACAGGGCGGGTTGGTGGGAGCTGGGCCTTAACCAAGATCTCCCTGAATGCAGAACTTGACTTTCAACCCAGGGAGTATTCTGCCTCATTTTGGAAGGTGATGTTCTAGAGAGCAAGGCTGTGGCTCATTTAGTTTTACATTTTCCCCATTCCAAGTACGATGCCTTGTACATACCAAGAAATACCCCTTCTCCATGTCAACTGCTGTTACATATGCTCAGGTGCTTGTAAGCACACATGTACACGTGCACACACGCACATACAAACACGAACTCTTTCTGCTTTCCATTTCTTTGCTTCTCCCTTTGTCCTACTTCTAGGCTACAATAATTAAGAACAAAAGGCACAAAAAAGGACAAACGCACAGTGCATATAAACATTTTCCTCATCTTTGAGTAGCTATTGTCGCTTTACAACTTTCTGTATTTCTGCTTTAATTACCATGTTTCACACCCTCTAGAGTACACCTTGGAAAAGGACAACACCCTATGACTTTAATAAGCTTTGTGACTAGCACATAAAATATCCCCAAATAATAATTTTAGATCATGTGAAAAAGATTCACTGTTCACATATATTAAAGGTTAGTGATCGTGCACCTGAAACTTGTATAAATGTGTTAACCAGTGTCACCTTAATAAATTCAATAAAAAGGAAAAAAGATGAATGAATCATTAACGTAAGAACCCCATTTGCTAATCTGTTTACCTATTTGGGCTGTGTCCTGGAAGTTCATTCAGAGTCAATTTGCTTCTTTTTATGGGGAACTACATTATCTATTATATCATAATATAAAGTATATATCATGATATATAATAATGAATACTAATAGCAGTAATAATAATTGCCACAATTTATTGAGTAGCAGGTACTTGACATAATTATCTCTATTTTTCACATCAACCCTACAAGATGGGTATCCATTTTATAGGTAAAACTAAAATTCAACTAAATTAAGGAACATCCTTTTAAGAGCACACCAGGGCAAATACATTTCTTGCCCCAATAACAGTGCCTGCTAAAGGGGCAATGACAGGTCACCCATAATATCCCTTGCCACTCCCCCTCCACTCACCAGCCGCAGCTGGTGGGCACCTGATTCCATGCAGGCTAATTGTGGTTGTGGCCTGGTTGGAACACATGAGCTTGGCTAATCTGAGTCTCCCTTAGGAATTTGAATGGGGAAACATGGAAACAGTAAGTTGGTAGGAGCAAGCAGGAGCTGGGACTGAAAGGCTCAATCTGAAACTGATGAATGAGTGTTAGGAAGGGAGGCCGAGGAGCCCGTGATGTGCCCCATGCAAACCGAAGTTTATGGGACAGTGGAAGGCACGCAGAGACTTAAATGCAGTGGAAGGATATAGGATAAATGGGTGTGGGACAGAAAGAATCACATGCAGAGAGCAGCCAGGTCAGTGCAGAGTTCTTTGGGGCCAGGCGCTGCCCCTTCCCCCACCCTCCCAGTTTCTGTGCCAGGTAGCCCTAAAAGAACCCTCATCTCTTGAGCTAACTTTAATGGGTGTCAGGTCATTTCAACCAGGAGAGCCAATTGAGAATACACATCCTGTAAGTTCTGGAAAAGGGATTGGGACCCCAGTTTTGTGGCTATGGAGCCTCTGTTCTTGTCACTGTACCTCTTTGGCATATTACAAATGCTGCCCTGGCCCCCTGGCCCACCATGGCCCACAAGGTCACCTTAATGTATCTGAAAAAGAACCAATAATGGACTCAAGTTTCCTGAATCCATGTCCCAAGTTTTGGTCTGCTTTCAGAGGCCTGAATGGGATGGTGGGGGTTAAGAGTCTTGGGCAATTGGGAGGTCTCCAAACAACTCTGGGGCAGGACTCCAGCTTCCAGGGAGAAAGATGCTACAATGCAGGTGGGTGGGAAGGGGACAGGATGGGTTCTTGGCAGTACAGAGGAGAACAGGGACTCCTCCAGTATGGGAACTGGTCTTATCCCTACTTGCACCCCCAATTCTAAGATTGAGCCTGACATATATTTGAATGAGCATATGAATGAGTGAATGAATGAGTGAATGAATGAGTGAATGAATAAATGAATGGCAGAGGTGGGTCACGGCCCCTCTTCAAATGTATGGATCATTCTTCCATTAAGTTTTGCCAGGTTAAGGAACACCTGTGTCTATCTCTAAGAAGCGATCTATGCAATAATATAAGTAATGTTTACAGTAACTTCAGCTTAAAAAATACCAAGGTAGATGTAGTGACCAGGATAATGATATAGTTCAAAGACTACAAATGGACAACTCTGGATTGCATTTGCCCTGTTTACAAAAACACCACACGCTTTGTCTTCCTCTGTCTGGAGAGAGTGAGGTTTTCATTTTAAGAGGCTGACTAAAAAATGCAGAGCCACTTCCTGGGCATGCTTCCAAGTGACTACATCTCTCTTGCAGAGCTCCCTGGAGCCCCAGCCCCAGCTGCCTGGGGCGGGGCCTCCAGCCGTTGGTGGCTGTTGGAGCTACCACAGGAGCAGTTATCTGCAGCCCGCCAGAAATACTGTGCTTTTAGGTCCCAGGGAACAGATAACGTCTTTGGCCTTTGCACTGAAGAGACATCAGATCTTGTGATTGGCCAGGCTGCTGTGTGTGAAATACAGATGTCTCACATTGCTGAGTATGGCATTCCTTCCAGATGAGTACCCCAGGGTGTGGGTAAGTCTTATTTCTTGAAGCCTGCCCTTACTGGTTGTGAAATATTCAAAGCTGAGCTTTGTGACTTTCCAAGGGCATGACTTAGCATACCTCCTAATCCTGCTGAGCCTCAGTTTCCTTTTCTGTGAAATAGAGATGGTATTATGCTATACTATAGAAGGATAGAAGGAGCTAGCCATCACAGGGTGTTGTGAGGCCTAAAAGAATTAATATATCCAGAGTACCTCATCTGGTACCTGGCATATAGTAAACACAAAAGAGCTCTCATTATTTCTGAAGCAACAGTTTTTTAAAAAAAAGGTTTCAGTGCCAATGTCCCTGTTTTTATTTCTAGCAGTACAATATTTCTCTAAAAGACTCTGGATATATTCTACTTCTTGATCATACCTGTGTAGCGAACAGAAATAAAACTGCTGGGGAAGTTAGTGCCTAAAGAAAGTTTGTCAGACTGTATTCCCTTTCTCTTTTTCCCTTCTAGACTCTGACTGCTCCTGCTCCATTTGCAGACGAAGTCAGCTGCCAGTGCCAAGCGCCCCATGAAAAACTGACCATTGCTCAAGCCCGCCTAGGAACACCAGGTGAGGCTGGACTTCCCCTCCGAAGGGGCCCTGTCTTGACATCCAAAGTAGCAAAAAGGCCCGTGATCATTTGAGCAGCACTCACCGTCAATCAGAGTTGAATTTAGAGATTATAACACAGTGCAAGGGTAACACCAACAGTAATAAATGCGACAAAGCAAAGTAGCCAAGGAAAAGATACAGCGAGATGTCAGTGTTGGAGCCCCAGCTCTGCCATGAAGTAGTTCTGCACTCTTGAGCAAGTCACAAGAATGATCTAAATTTTTCCTCATGTGTGAACAGGGACGATGATGATACCTGCTTCACAGGTTTTTGTGACAACTAGGCTCGGTTAAAAACTCTGAAGCATTTTTTAAACTGTGAAGGCTTATACAAACCTAAGCTGCATAATTATTACCATTCTTAAAAGTCTGTGTTGTGAAAACGTTTTTCCAGGTGTGCCTTAAATTAAAGAGCTAGGAGTTTGTTCATTCATTCACTCCTCTAGTGGATACCAACCACAGCTGGATAGGGAAGAGATTTAAAAAGAACTCTAAGGTACTGCCTCTGTTCCCACAAGCTTCATTATAAAGAGACAAGACAACTAGATATGAAATAAACTCACCAATAGCGTGCATGGATGTATTTAGGGCAGCAATTTTCAACTGGTGTGCTGCAAAGATTTTTAAAACTTGCAATACCTGACTATTTAGTCAGGGGCACTGACCTCTTTTCCCTTAGATTGTCAAATGGAAAAAAAAAAAAAGACAATGGCCAACACAATAATAGCTGGCAAAAAATATTTTTTTTGTCAGATTGGCAAAATGTGCTGCAGAATTTTAGTAATTAGTTTATGTGTGCCATGAGATGAAAAAGGTTGAAAATCACTGGTTGAGGGGTTAAATCATACAACATAGATGAAAACTGATGGTTTTAAGAAAGGCAGATTCATTCAGCCTGGAGCAGTCAGGCTACCTCAGCTGATACTTTTGGGAGAAGTAAGATTTGAACAATGTGGGCAGAAAAGGGAAAGGTATTTTGGGCAAGTAGAACAGGAACAGTGAAGGCGTGCAGGTAGCGAGCTGCGCAGCAGTAAATGAATGGTGTTCCATTTATTTGGGATGGAGTGGAAAATCAGACTGATTAGCCTTGTAAGATGGCTCCAGAACAAACATCCCAAGTTTAAAAGAATCCATGGGACAAAAGACAGCCTTCTTAATAATAACAACAACGGATATTTACTAACTGTTTACTATTAAGTTCTTTACCTGTATCATGTTATTTCACTGTCAACACTATGTGGTTAGTGCTTTTAGCATATCACAGGTGAGGAAATGAAGGCTTTAGAGAGGCTGTGAATCCGCCCAGGATTATTCAGCTAGTAAGTGGCACTGGGTCTTATCCCTGAGCACACATCAGAATCACCTGGAGGGCATATGCAAACACAGATGGCTGGCCTTCACCCCCAGTGTCTCTGATTCAGTCCAACTGGGGTGGGGCCTTAGAACTTGCCTCTCTAGCAAGTTCCCAGGTGATGCTTCTGCTGAGGGACTACACTTGGAGAACAAATGGTAAGTAGCAAAACTGAGATTTGATCTCAAACCTCTTTGTGTTCCAGCTTGCTTTCTCAGCCATGACACTGCCTCCTCTTTAAGAGTACAGTGGGTCCTTTAATAAAGTCATTTTCCTCAATGTTGCTTCGTCATAACATTGAAAGAGGGGGCTCCTACCCTACCTATCAGCATGGATGGAACTGGAGAGCATTATGCTAAGTGAAATAAACCAGGCGGGAAAAGACAAATGCCATATGCTCTCACCTATAAGTAGAACCTAATCAGCAAAACAAACAAACAAACAAACAAATGAGCAAAATAGAATCAGAGGCTTTGAAACAAGGAACAGACTGAATGTGACCAGAGGGGAGTGGCAAGGGGGATAAGGGAGGCAAGAAGGGGAAGGGACTAGTTAAAGAATAAGTATAAATGACCCATGGACATGGACAACAGGGTGGGGATTGACTGTGGGAGCGGGGTGGGGGTGGGGGGCAGGGCAGGGGAGAGCAATGGGGGAAAATCGGGACGACTGTAGTAGAACAACAATAAAAAAAATAAGATGCTATGGGAACCAAACTCTTGTTTATATCAATTAGCCAATGTTAAAACTGGTTTCATTATACAGTGTTTCACTTAAAGTCATAGAAGCTATTGACGATGTTAAGTGAGGACTATAGCTTGGAGAGAGTGAGGTAAGGAAGAGAGCAGGCCAAATTAGTAAGCTTTTTTGTTACTTCTTTTGAGAAAGGCAAGAAGTGGCTTAGAGCAGTAGTTCACAGCAGCTAAACCACTTGTTCCCCGTCCTTCAGTGTGCAACGAATCACCTGGTAAGTTTGTTAAAGAAGCAAATTTCCTGCTGTCTCACCACCACCACTAAATCTGGGTTGAGGTCCAGGCACCTGCACTTTTAACGAATAGCCTAGGTAAATCCAAAAGATGAAAGTCCAGGTAGTTGTGAAGAGAACAGATTTGACCTAAAGTTAAAGGATGAGCTTTAGGCCCAAGGAGAAAACAAAGCTTTTTCTAGGGAAAGGTAAGCCAAATCTAACTTACTCTGAATCTGCCAGGTGCTCTTTCCTCCAGGGGTGTCCAGCCTTTTGGCATCTCTGGGCCACACTGGAAGAAGAGTTGTCTTGGGCCATACATTAAATACATTGTGATAATCACAAAAAAATCTCATCATGTTTTAAGTAAATTTACAATTTTGTGTCAGGCTGCATTCATAGCCATCCTGAGATGCATGCGGCCTGCAGGCCACAGGTTGGACGCCCCTGCATGTGTCTCATTTAGTTTTTGCAAAAATTGTGTGTGATGGGTGTTAGTGTATCCTTTCTACAGATGAGGCAAATGAGATTTGGAGAACTGAAAAGTTATTTGTCAAATTTCCTAGCTGAGTGCGTAGAGCTAGGATTTGACCCCAACTATCTTTCACCTCAAAACCTGCTTTGTCCTCCACATCGGGCTGCCCTGTGGAACACAAGCCACAGCAGACCTTGGAGGTCAGAGAAAACATGCTCAGGCATTGAACTGGAGGTTGGAAGGTATAGTAACAAGACAGGCAGAGAGTAGCTGTGATCTTCTGCAGTGGCTGGGTTGTCTGTTGTGCTCACTGCTGTTTCACCAGTACCTGGAGGTATGCTTGTCAAGTACTGTGTGTTCAGTAAATATTTCGTGAGTGAATGAATGACTGGAAGTTTGGGACAAGAGAAGGAGCTTGTTTTCTAGAAATAGAATTAGCCATGGCTGGTGTGACTCAGTGGATTGAGCACCAGCCTGCAAACCAAAGGGTCACTGGTTCAGTTCCCAATCAGGGCACATGCCTGGGTTGCAGGCCAGGTCCCCAGTAAGGGGTGTGTGAGAGACAACCATACATTGCTGTTTCTCTTCCTTTCTCTCACCCTTCCCCTCTCTCTAAAAACAAGTAAAGAAAATCTTTAAAAAATAGAATTAGAGAGAACTGGTCCAATGCTTTGAGCCAGCATCAAGCTAATTAACTGGGTGAGATCAGGTGCCTGTACGTTGCCTAACTGCCAAGCAGTTTAAACACAGAGAATAAAGCTAGAATAAGATGGTGTTACATTTTGAAAGAGCTGTGCGGTGGGCTCTGTTGAACGTGGGTCACTGAAGAGGAATGAGACAGGAAAGCTGAACTCCTAGTCTTAGAAGCTCTCCCCTGTTATCTCAGGTGATGACCCTAGGAAGTTATGCAAGAGAATCTGTGATGTTGATGGGTACCTAGCTGGGGAACTTCAGTTAAAAATTCCTTTATATAGAAACGTTAGTTCTTTCATTATCTGGAATGCCCTGATAACCATTGTTTTATTAGAGCAATGGTCCTCAAATTTCAGCATACTACTTAGAATCCCCTGGAGGGCTTATTAAAACAGACAGCAGCTCCTGATTGGATAGGTCTGGGGTGGGGCTCAAGAATTTGCATCTCTAAGTTCCTAGATGATGCTGATGCTGCTTGTCCTGAGACCACACTGTAAGAACCGCTGCTGAAGAGTAACTGTTGATAGTAGTTGGAGGGAGTGACAGGAAGATTATCCTAAATAATTGTTGAAGCATTGTACTGTTACTAGAAAAGCTCAGAGCACGTTTTTTAAATCTTGCTGTTGTACTGTTCTTTAAAGAAAACGAGAAAAACATTACTTTTTTGAAGTGTTTGGTAATTTTCAAGAGTAGTAAGCAATTACCTTTTTGTGGCACTGTCTTGAGCATTCCATCAAAAAAGACAAAACAGACCCGTACTAGGGGTTTATAATGTGCTTCAAGATTATAGTTATAACTGAAGTCTTTCACTATCTTTTCCACTAGCCCTATTTTATGACTCAATACAATTGCCTACAATATGTTTCACAATCTTAGGTCTGCCCAAACAGAGGCTAGCATATAAATTCTAAAAGAGGTAATGACAAACTCTGGTCATAGCTCTTAGCTCCTGGGCCTCATCAGTGAGGTCACAAGGATGATAAAACATCACGAAAAATAGTAGGGCAGTCAGAATCAGCCCCTTTGACCCTAGCTTAACTAGTCCAGTTGTGGAGCTATGTGTCTACAGGGTTTAGCATGTGTCCTGAAACAAAGAGAATCAGTCTTCTGTCTTGCAGTAAAGGAAAAGTTCAAGTGATCGTTTCATAGGTTCCTTTTCATCAAAAGGGAACTCAGTTCCAATTTCCTATTTCCTTCTCAGAATTGGGATTTATATTAGTCTGTTTCCACAGTGTATAGAGTTTCCAAATTCATTTTTCAAAAGTTACCTTAATGATTTGTTTCATTTGTGTGCCACCTGTACTATTATTTATTTAATTTTTCTTTAATGTTCTCTTCTGTTAACTTTAATGTATCTAAAAAGCAAACATCAATCATTATCTATTGAAAATAGTATTGCTGGCTTTAGAAGGGAGGTATAAAGTTTATATAAAACTGTAAACTTTATAGAATATGTAACTATTAGATTTTAAAAGGTTAATTTCTGTGCCACGTTTTGCACATCAATTGTACACAAAAACAATACTAGTTACCATAATTACTCGGTGTTGGGAATTCATGGTTTGGTTGTATGACATTGTGTAAGCTGCTTAACTTTGCTGAGCTTCCATTTGTTCCTCTATGAGGATACTAAAAATGATAATACTAAGTCCACCCTACCTACTTCACAGAGTTGATGTGAAGATCAAGTGAAATATATGGGTTTTATAAATCATATGTACTTTTAAGGCATTATTTAAATGTGGGTTGATAATAGCCATAATAAAAAATGAATAACTACACTTTTTTGTTGTTATCTGAATCTGAAGTAATACCAAGAAACAGCATAATCTGTAGGTGTAGTCTTAACCTTTAAACCAACACCAAGCTGATTTCCAAAACAACTGCAATTTTACATTTCGACCAGCAATGTGTAAGAGTTCATTACTGTATATCCTCACCAATATTTGATAGATATGGTCAATAATTTTTTTAAATGTTTAGCCATTTTAGAGGTATGAAGTGGTATATCATTCTGACTTTAATTTGTATCTCCCTGATGACTAATGATATCGAGCATCTTTTCATGAGCTTTGCTATCCATATATTTATTTTTTTGGTGGAATGTTCATTTTTTGCCCCTTTTAAAATGAGTTATTGGTCTTATTGAGTTTTGAGAGTTCTTTATATATTTTAGATACAAGTCATATATCTGATATATATTTTTTGCAAATATTTTCTCCCTATAACTTGCCTTTTCATTTTTAAAGAGTGTAAGTTTTAAATAAGGTCCAATTTATCTTTGTTTTTTCATTATATAGTGTACCCTTTTTGGGTCCTATTTGAGAAATTTTTGCCAAATTCACTGAGATTTTTCTCCTGTTTCCTCCTAGAGGTTTTATAGTTATAGCTCTTACATTTAGGTCTATGATCCATTTTGAATTAATTTTTGTACGTAGTGTGAGATGAGAGGTAAGCATAGTTCCTTCTATCATTTCATTTACTTCAAAGTGCTAACATAAAAATTTGGAATGTAGTATCTAGAAAGTTAAAACAATCAGATTTCCCCCACAGTACTGTACCATGGTCATTATTTGTATCCATGATCCTCAAGCAAATGTCAAGCATCATTTTGGTGTTATGCCTAATTTGTTATGTTTATTTAAAATACAGTTATCAGTGTGTGGTATATGGACATACATTCTACCAGAACATCACATTTATCTAATATACTTATAACCATTCAGGATAAAGAGGAATTTACTTAAAATGCTTTAGAAATTTTATAATCTGCAGGCAGAAAGTGTATAATGCCATCATATTCATTTTCTATGATGTATAACATTTCGGCACAGACCTAGTGGCGTAAAACAGTGCCCGTTTGAGCCACAGACCTAGTGCCGTAAAAGAGTGCATGTTTCAGTCGCAGACCTAGTGCCGTAAAACAGCACATATGCGCCACCCCTCTTTCTGGTGAGCCGCCTACCTTCCCGTGAGGAGCTCCCCTTCTCGCGAGCCGTCCCCCTTCCCGGCGAGCCACCCCCCTTCCCGGCGAGCCACCCCCCTTCCCGTGAGCTGACCCCAGTCCCTGAGCTGACTCCGTCATGTCCAGCACACTCCAGCAGGCAGCATCTGGGTGACTTCAGGTTTCGCCTGCAGCCCGTTTCTCACTGTGGTCGTCGTCGTCGACGTTGACGAAGGTAGTTGTGTGGTAAAATGGCACCTGTGCGTCTGCGGCTTGGTGATTTGGTGTGGGGGAAACTCGGTCCGTATCCTCCTTGGCCGGCAAAGATTATTACTCCGCCCAAGTGTTTGCGGAGACCGCGTGGAAAGAAATGCTGCTTTGTGAAGTTTTTTGGAATGGAGGATCATGCCTGGATGGAAATGAGACAGCTAAAGCCGTATCATGCGCATAAGGAGGAAATAATAAAGGCTAACAAGGGAAAACTGTTCCGGCGAGCTGTGAAAGATGTGGAAGAGTTCATCCGAGCAGCCACCGAGGAAAACCAGACGCCGCCTCACAAGTCCGCTGATGACGAGAATCGGCGTAATTCCAGTGGGGAGAGAAGTAGACCAGACTCATGTGGTAAGTGCGAGCCTTGCCTGTCTGAAGGGCAGCTGAAGGAGACCATGGGAGAAGGAAAGATGACAGTGTCTTCAGAATCTTCAGAGAGAGGCCCCAAGGCCCCTCGGAGAAGGGCTCGATCGCACCGTTCCCGGAAGCGTAGGCAGCCCCCAAAGAACATCCCCGTTCCTGAGTCTAGAACCATGACGGAGACGATAGCTAGACCAGTGGCCTCATTTAAGGGGCAGTGGACTGCGAGTGGTGAGCCTGTGAGCGGAGACCCCCGCTTTGATCACTTCCTGCTCAGTCAAATCAGGAACGCAGCTATCTGTTACGAGCAAATTACAAAGAAGTTGAAAAGTGGAAATGAGACCGGATCCGTCTCTACCCAGGCAACAGACAGCAGGGTCATGAATGGTAGCATCATACCCACAGACAAAAAGATAGGATTTTTGGGCCCGAGCTGCATGGGAAGGGGCATGGTCTCCAACTTGCTAAAAACGGGTCACACAGTGACTGTCTGGAACCCGACTACAGAGAGAGAGGAGGCCTGCCTAGGAAGAACCCCTGCTGAAGTTGTTTCATCTTGTGACATTACCTTTGCCTATGCACCTGATTCAGAGGCGGCCAAGGATCTGGTGCTGCGTCCTGATGGTGTGCTGCAGGGGATCCACCCCGGGAAGTGCTACGTGGACCTGTCAACAGTGGACGCTGACACAGTCACAGAGCTGGCCCAGGTGATTATGTCCAGGGGGGGGCGCTTTCTGGAAGCCCCGGTCTTACGCAACCAGCAGTTGTCTAATGATGGGATGTTGGTGATCTTAGCAGCTGGAGACAAGGACTTATATGAGGACTGCAGCACCTGCTTCCAGGCAATGGGGAAGGCCTTCTTTCTAGGTGAGGTTGGCAGTGCAGCCAAGATGATGCTGATTGTGAACATGGTCCAGGGGAGCTTCATGGCCACCATTGCTGAGGGGCTGACCTTGGCCCAAGAGACAGGTCAGTCCCCACAGACATTTTTGGACATCTTCAATCAAGGAAAATTGGCCAGCATCATCTTAGACCAGAAGTGCCAAAATATTCTTCAAGGAAACTTTAAGCCTGATTTCCACATGAAATACATTGTTAAGGATCTTCATTCAGCCATTGCACTGGGCAGTGCCGTCAACCATCCGACTACAATGGCAACTGCAGCCAGTGAGGTGTACAAAAGAGCCGAGGCACTGGGACAGTCTGACAACCTCATGTCTGCCCTGCCCCAGGCCTACATGCACTGAGCTCCTACTCCCCCAATCTCCCCTGTGACCCCCCTCTTCCTCACACGGGGCTGGGGTCCTAGGACTTTACTTTGGACCTGTTTACTTGTCTTTATCTCCTTTTATACAGACTTTGAGACTTCTCCTCAGTACAGCATACAGCATTTACTCTTCCCCTGAAGGTCCTGGGAAGGGGAGGAATGTCAGCAGGATTGGCCTATGGCAAGGCACAGGTGGATGTGTGTTCACACCCCCACCCCACCTGTACTTACTCCAGGATACAAGCTGCCCAGAAACTGCTTCCTGGCTTTTTCACCCCTTCTTCCAAGCTTGTCTTATCTCAGACTCCTTCTAGGAACTAGAATCAACAGTGGAAACTGGAAGCCTCCCTACTGCTTCCCTCAGAGCAAAGAGGCTGTGGTTATTTCCACAGTCCCCACTGGATTTCTTGTACGGAGAGACTCTGGGCCAAGGATGTCAAACTCATTTTTACTGGGGGCCACATCAGCCTCGTGGTTGCCTTCAAAGGGCCGGATGTAATTTTAGGACTGTATAAATAGAACTACTCCTTAACTAGGGGCAAGGATCTCAGCATTGCCGCTGGGTAGAAACAAGGTGCCGGACCAGATAAAGAAAGGTGGAGGGCCAGATTCGGCCCCCAGGCCTTGTGTTTGCCACCTGTGCTCTAGGCCAAGATGGACCAGCACAGACTAAACAGAGGACCCTGTGGGCCCTGCAACCTTAGGTGACCAGCTGATGAGGACTGTCATGTTTAAGCTACCAGTGTGCAACCAACTCTCCAGAAATGCCTTTGTGAACTGAAAAGGGATTGGCAAAGGCAAGTGAAGGCAGGACTTTCCAGGGACAGCAGCAAAAAGTCAGCCTGTAGGTCAGCCTCCCAGAAGCCTGTTCTCCTCACTGCTTTTCAGCACCCATCCTGGAAGTCCTGGAAGGTACCATCACTGTTGGGCCCTGGACTGGGTTCAAACTTTCTGCTTTGGTATAGGGAGAGCTCACTCCTCAACAGACTATTTTAGTGTTTAGATTTGCATTCCAGGCCTTGAGGAGGGGGTCCTGAGGGCCACCAGTGAGAGGTGAGGAGTAATATCTAATTATATACATAAAATGAGGTGGCCACACTGGTGTGAGTCCCTCCCCCTCATAACCTTGGCCCTTTTCCACTCATCAACCCAGGTTATGGGATCTCAGAAGACATGGGGCGAGGGCAGGGAAGATGCCTGTGGGTTTTTGGAACAGGCAATTTCACTTGGATTTTGAATTCTTTTCTGTCTGAACACAAAGCCTGTTATATTCCTAGATCAGGGGTGTCAAACTCATTTTCACCGGGGGCCACATCAGCCTCGCGGTTGCATTCAAAGGGCCAGATGTAATTTTTGGACTATATAAATATAACTACTCTTTAACTAAGGGCAAGGATCTCGGCACTGCCGCCGGGTAGAAAGGTGCCAGACCAGGTAAAGCAAGGTGGAGGGCCAGATTTGGCCCCCAGGCCTTGTGTTTGCTACCTGTGCTCTGGGCCAAGATGAACCAGCACAGACTAAACAGAGGACCCTGTGGGCCCTGCAACCTCAGGTGACCAGCTGATGAGGACTGTCATGTTTAAGCTACAAGTGTGCAACCAACTCTCCAGAAATGCCTTTGTGAACTGAAAAGGGATTGGCAAAGGCAAGTGAAGGCAGGACTTTCCAGGGACAGCAGCAAACAGCCTGTAGGTGAGCCTCCCAGAAGCCTGTTCTCCTCACTGCTTTTCAGCAGCCGTCCTGGAAGTCATGGGACGAGAGCAGGGAAGATGCCTGTGGGTTTTTGGAACAGGCGATTTCACTTGGATTTTGAATTCTGTCTGAACACAAAGCCTGTTATATTCCTAGATCAGGGGTGTCAAACTCATTTTCATGGGGGGCCACATCAGCCTCGCAGTTGCCTTCAAAAGGCTGGATATAATTTTAGGACTGTATAAATGTAACTACTCCTTACCTAGGGGCAAGGATCTCAGCACTGCCACCGGGTAGAAACAAGGTGGAGGGCCAGATTCAGCCCACGGGCCTTGCATTTGCCACCTGTGTCCTAGATGGACACTAGGGCCACCATCACTGAGGGGCTGACCTTGGCCCAAGAGACATGTCAGTCCCCAGACATTCTTGGCCATCTTCAATCAAAGAAAATTGACCAGCATCTTCTTAGACTAAAAGTGCCAAAATATTCTTCAAGGAAACTTTAAGCCTGATTTCTGCCTGAAATACATTTGTAAGGATCTTCACCCAGCCATTGCACTGGGCAGTGCCATCAACCATCCAACTACAATGGCAACTGTGGCCAATGAGATATACAAAGTGAAAGGTGAGGAGGAATATTTAATTATGTATGTAAAATGAGGTAGCCTGTGAAGATTCTGCCTATGGGTTTTTGGTACAGTTGATTTCACTTGGATTTTGAATTCCAATGAAAGATGCTATAATGAAAGTGGTTACTCATTGTTGTCTTTAAGTGTTTTTTTTGTTTGTTTTCAGAAACTCTTATTTACTGATTGATTTTAGAAGAGGGGGAGAGAGAGAAATATCAATTTGTTGTTCTACTTATTTATGCATTCATTGGTTGATTCTTGTATGTCCGGGGACCAAAGCCACAACCTTAGTGTATCAGGATGATGCTCTAACCAGCTGAGCTACCTGGCCAGGGCTCAGTGTTGTCTTAACATTATTGGCAATTCTGTAAAGTTCCTTTTAATGAGTATTTCTGTTAAGGTATTTCATCTTTGTTATGAAATCCTTCCCTTTGATTTGAGAGTCCTTGAGAGTAGGTGATATCTCAAAAACAGTTATTTAAAAAAAAACAACAACACTGAAGTAGAAGAAGGAAAAATCCTAGTAATTTTTTTAAGATTTTATTTATTTATTTTTAGAGAGGGGAAGGGAAGGAGAAAGAGAGAGAGAGAGAAACATCAATGTGTGGTTGCCTCTCACGTGGCCCCCCACTGGGGAGGTGGTCTGCAACCCAGGCATGTGCCCTGACTTGGAATCGAACCTGCGATGCTTTGGTTCGCAGCCCATGCTCAATCCACTGAGCTATGCCAGCCAGGGCTAATCCTGGTAATTTTTAAAGTATATAATATAAATATTCTAATAAATTTAATCTCTTACAGGCTACTTTGGGTTACCCAAAATATTTTTTTATAATTTCTACTCTGAGTCTTCTTTGATGCATGGGATTTTTAGAAGTGTATTACTTCTAAACATCTGGGAATTTGTTATCTTTCTGTTGTTGTTCTATTTTAATTTCCTTGAATTAGATTACAGCATATACTCCATAATTTCAGTTTGACATTTTGAGAATTGTTTATGGCTAGTTTACAGTGCATTTCGATAAATGTTCCGCATGTTCCAGTAAAGATGGTATTCTATAGCATTTGCTTGTAGTTCTATAAATATAGCCTAGATCAAGTTGTCAGGTTACTCATCATGCTTTTTAAATCTTCTGTGTGCTTACTGTTTTTTTATCTACTTATTCTATTAGTTGTTGAATTACATTTCCAACTAGGTATCATTAATATTAAAAAGCTTATACATATTAAAACACGAAAATATTCAAAAAAGAGAACTCGTTCCTTTTTAAGGAGAAAATGGGACACTTGTGAAAAAGTTTGCAAGAAAGCCCCTCCTTTTTCTTTAAATGACACTTTTTTTCTTTAAATGACATCTTCTAGGTAATGAAGGTTGTGAATTTTTAGTTTTGCTTTGTTTTTCATGAAGTCTTTCAGAATAGAATTGTATGATAATGTTTAAATGGCAAAAAGAAAACATGATTTTATGCAATTAACAAAAGGTTACTACAAGCAGAACAATATGTATTTTGGTAAAAATAACAAATCAAACAATACACATTTGTTACATCATAATTTCTGTGGCTCGGGAGTCCAAGCCTGGCTTAGCTGAGGCCTCTGCTTCAGGGTCTCACAAGGCTGTATTCAAGGTGTCACCCAGAGCTCAGTTCTTCTCTTGAGGCTTGACTGGTGATAGGTCTCAGGTTGTTGGAAGAATTTATTTTCTTGCAACTGTGAGACAAAGGATCTAGCTTTTTGCTGGTTGTCAGGCAGAGGTCACCCTCAGCTCCTAGAGGAACCTGCAGCTCTTTGCCATATGGCCCTCTATATAGGCCCTTTCACAACGCAGCAGCTTCCTTCTTCAAAGCCACCAAGGGAGAGTGAGTCTGGTAGCAATATGAAGTCATATATGCTGTAACATAATCATGGGAGTACCATCTATCATCTTTGCTAGATTCTATTCATTACAAACAAGTCACAGGTTCCACTCACACTTCAAAGGGAGAGGGTCACACAAACGTGTGAACAGCACGGGCGGAGATCATTGGGAGTCACCTTAAGGTCTCTAAACTGTGGCCATGGAGTAGCTGTGCTCCTACTTGTGATAATTGTCAAACCCCAGCTTCACCAGCCACTGCTTCCCAATATAGATGCCCAGATGCCTAAAAGGATGTCCAGAGAAACTTCATGGAAAAGATTAAAACAAAGAAACATACAAACTAGAAAAAGGCACATTCTATTAAAAATTTTATTATGGAGAATTTCAAACATACACAAAAGTAAAACAATATGATAAACACTTATGAGTCTGTCACCCATACCTAGTTGTGACCACAACCATGGTCAGTATTGTCCCATCTATTCTTCCCTCTTGAATTATTTGAATAGGGCTTCCTATAATTTCATCTATATATTTGTGTGTCTGTATATAAAATAGAGTGATACCTCGGTATTCGTCATTAATTCGTTCTAGAAGTCATGACAAGTGCCGAAACCGATGAGTCCTGAGCAAGCACCGAGTGTTGAAACATTTTTTTCTCGTCAAAATGTGACGAGCGCTGAACCCAACGAGTACTGAGGTATGATAGTAACTGTTTTTAAAGCATTCTCTCTAGACCATTATCTCACCTAAAAAATTACCAGTAATTCTTTAATATCATCAAATATTAAAATTCCTAGTTGTCTTATATCATTTATTTATAGTTTGTTTGAACTGAAATCCAAATAATGTTTATACATTACAATATGTTTATATGTCTTTTAAATCTCTCTTAATCTGCACGTCCCTCTTCCATCTCTCTTCCTCTTTTTTTCTTCAAGTTTATTTGTTGAAGAGGCAGAGTTCCTTTTTTTTTTTCTCCCCCCTTTCTGTTGGTCCTGTAGCGTTTCCCAATCTAGAAATTGCTGACACATTATAGTTGTAAAAGTGGACTTATTACAAAATCAGCTCCACAAATACTCTTAAAAGATGTACTAAATGGCCTTTTTCTCAATAATTATGTCACCATTCTTTACTTTTCTTTCTTCCTTGCTTCTTGAATCCATTTATCTTGATCACCTTTGAATCAGTAAGAAAAAGTTCTGTAAAACTGCCATCTGCTTTCCCCTGGGGTTTATAACTTAAAACAAATTTTCCTCAATTGAATTCAAATTGAATAAGAGCATTGAAACCAAGGATCCCTCATTAGGCAGTTTGTTATTTCAAAGCATTTTCTATTTACTGTGCTTTATTTAGAATACAGGATAATCCTGTGAAGGCAATTCTGTTTGTTCAAAATGGTGTATAATTGGAAATAATTGCAATCCCCTATCTTACATAAAGCCTCCAGTATTTTTATTAGAGAAATTTAATTTATTAGAAACATTTTACCATCCGAATCTATTAATGTAACATTTCTTCTAATTTAAATTCCAAATTAATGAGGTTGTACTACATTAAGAAATAATCACAATTTTAAATCTAAGTCTTAAAGATCACTCAGCTGAAGTTTGCATTGATTGCTTCCTTAAATTTTATTTTATAGCATCAACATAATACATGCATATAGTTTTAAAAATCAGTAAGACTCTTAGGCTTCTAAAGAAATAAACCAGCAGTCCTTTTCCCCACCTGCCCCACCCCGGAGTCTTGCTTCCGGTAGACACTCAGCACTTGACAATCACCTTTCCAAAATGTTGTAGACATCTTTCACTCACTGTCATTGCCTTTTCATTTCTTATACCTTTTAAATATTTTTCTCTGTAATTCTTATGGTACTTGGCAGGAAGTGGAGATGTGTGTGTTCAGTTTGCCACATTTAGCTTGTAGTTTGCTATCTTTTCACTTTGTGGTTCCTTCGGTGAGAGTCCAGAATTGTGTAAAACTTGGCACCCAGCCCCTGCGTCCCCCAACGTCTCCCTCTGATTTGAGGGGATAGGTCTTTGTGCGGGCTCAGCAAAAGTGTCATCCTGCATTTTCCAGCTCAGTCTCCTGGCTTCCAGAGAGCTGTGGTGAAGTGTGTCCTTCTTCCTCATGGAAAGGCACTTCCCAGAGCTCTGTATGCCATTGTGAGAGTGTCTGCTGTGGCCTCTTTACTCTTGACTTTTCTCCTCAGAGAAGATTGTAGTGTTGGTTGCTTGCCTCCCACCCTGAGCTCCACCCCACCTCATGTAGCTTTTGTCCTCTGATTCTCCTCTCTTTGGGGGCATGTGTTTCCCCTCCCCCATCTCTCATGTTACCAAAGAGGTTAGGGGGTGATCCTTGTGCAGTAGTATGTTGGTAAATGTTTAACAATCAGCCCTCCAGGGGAACATAAGCCCTGATTTCTAGCATTTGCCAATTTCTGTAGGTAAATGTTCCTACCAAGGCTGATTTCTAGCTACCAGTGTGACTTGGAGTTGGGCATAAAGGTGTATGTAACTGCCTTGGGGAACAGGACTCGGAGGTCTTCATCCAGGACTGCCAGACTCAAGGCTAAAGTCATTTGTCCTTTTCATTGAGCTCCTCAGTTGCTCCTGCCTTGATATGCCCACTGGGCTGACTCCGCCAACCCTTTGGTTATGCCTGGTCTGTCTGAATGTGCCTGCTCTGACCCCTGAGACTTTGCTCTGCGTCAAGAGAACTCCCCAGTGCTCTGTTTGTCTTTCCTATTAGCTAATAATGTGTTCTTACTGTGAGCCAGTCTTAATTTTGTTATGTTTTTACTCTCTTTTAATGTCCTCAGAAGAACCTCTTTGTAAAATTAATTTCCTGCACTAATAGGAAATTGATGGTACATGACCTTGTATTTTATCCAGATAAAATTTCCTATGCTGCTACACTGATGGAAGAATCAGGTAACAGGGATTTCTTATTCTGCAGTTCTGTTAATGATGTTTTCTTTCTCCGACAGTTGACAGACCTGTCAGAGTGTATGCAGATGGAATATTTGACCTCTTTCATTCGGGCCATGCAAGGGCACTTATGCAAGCAAAAACACTGTTTCCCAACAGCTACTTGTTGGTAGGAGGTAAGAAGTACATTTTCTTTTTGTCTAGAAAACTCCTTTATAATGTGCTTCCTGAAAGGAATCCCTTTCAGAGTCTCATCATTAAACTCTCATGTGGTTAAGGCTCCCAGTGTGTTCCCTATTGACTCACATGTTCACTGTCTGAAATGTAAAACATTTTAAAAAACTATAGGAGAAATTACATCATGTGATTTATACATCACTGATCCCCAGAAAGAGAGAGGGTAACTGCTTCATGGTTTCTATTAATGCCTTTCTTCTTGTGTTTGAGACATGATCCAATTTATGTTTCTAAAGTTTTCTAGAGGGTTAGGAGAAAGGCAATATTATTCAGATGTCAAATCTCAGAGAGCTGAAAGGGGTTCAGAATGAAGAAGGGTAAACAAGGTCATCGTTTATTTACTTTGTGTGACCCACAGCACTTAGGATGATGTTGTGTTAACATGAGTGGCTTACAACAGCCCCAATTAGTTGAATTTATGTACAGTGTGTTAAAGAAATGGAGATTTATGTACCCAAGTAATCTTGGTTCACAGTGAAGAGACTGACTGCATAAATGTGTGCAAAGAGAAGGGAGGTTATATGTGTAATGAAATGTTCCTTCCCCAGAAGGCCTACAGATTTCAACTTGGGTAAAAAGGACTAGGAAAACCTATATCTCACCTCTGTGGCTTCTGAAAGCAGCATATCCTTTCCCTGTGAGCAGTTTTTGTGGCATTACATGAATCACACACCATCAACTCTTAGGCCGCTGCTGTGCAGATAAAGATGCTGATAAGAGACCATGTATCTGGGTATTTTTTTTTTTGTATTTCATTATCTTCTGCAAGTTTAAAACTACTTTTTGAATGTTTAAGAGGAACTCACCTATAGATTTTGCTGAGGATGGTGACCATGTGGTCATCGAATGGAATTCTTTCCCAAAGGAAGAGGCAGTAAAAGGCAGTGGTTACTGGACAAGTCGTGCAGAGAGGACCTGGGGCAGGCAGAGAACCCAGCCGTTGTTCATCTCCCTTTATCTTGAGAGGAAGATCACTGCTACCTGGAGTCTGGTCCTAAGCTGCTGGGACTCTAGGGAGACCTCTGCGGTATTTGGGCTTTGGTCATTTCGGTGACTCAGATTTGGAGGTAGTTAGGTGTTGGCCACACTTAACAAGAACACTCGCCATGGCCCTGAGTTATCACACCAAAGGTAAGGACAAAGGAAACCTGCAGCTTTCCATATACCATTGTAAGTTGGAAAAAGCAGTAAATTAATATTAGCAACTATCTAGGTCATTAGGCAACAATGAGTTCACTGATTCACTGAATAATCCCTTCATTTAACAACTATTTATTGAGATTCTATTACGAGGCAGGCATTCTTCTGTACACTGAGGATGAAGCCATGAACAAAGCCGACTATGTCCTCAGAGAACTCAGAGTTTGAGGACATATTGTAGAACTGTTCACCTGAAACCTATATTTTATTAATTAATGTAACCCCAATAAATTCCATTAAAAATGATTCACTATGAGTATTGAGACGAGCTGGAAAAACATGTTTACCCTTACCTACGTTAAAAAGTAATTTTCAGTACTCAGTATTTTTTCCAGTGCTCATTTTGCTCTGAATTCCTGAATTGAATCACTTGAGATCCTTATCCTTTGACAATACTTAGGAGAAGGAAGAGGCAAAGTTGTTAGGCAAAAATTTGCCTATTCTCCTGGCAACCATATTTTGTTTCTAAGATCCAGCTTCACCTGTATCAGAACTGTGTGCAACACAGGCAGCTTTTATAGGTTCATGGTGCTTTGAATAGTTATTTAAAAAGGTTTCCATTTGGTTTGGCCTGAAGTCTTAACTCCCCACCCCTTGCGATGCAACATAGTGAGGTTTGCATGGTGCCTTTCTTTTGTAAAGTGGATAAACATGGTTTTGGACACAGGCTTTTTTGAGCCTGTTAATTTTAGGAAAGCACCCCTTGGAAGTTGATCTGGAAATTAATCCCTTTACAGCTCCCTGTGCTTGGATAACCTCTTGAAAAGTCTTTGTGTATCCTCAGGGGTATGTGTGCTGTAGTTTGAAGACCATTCATTGCCTTGGACTGTATTTCCTGAGTAGCACAAACTAACTTAATGGCAGACAGTTCTATAGTGAAGACAGTTAGGGAGCCCTTTATGAATAGATATTCTGTGGTTGAAAGGCTGGCTCTTGATCATATGTGTGCAGTTAGCAAATAAACAATTATGAGGAGTTGAAAGAACCTGCTCTATTAATTGTGGGCCCCCTTACATCTGCAGGCAGGTTTGTTGTAGGAATTCCCCTGGGTGGAGTGAGGACTTAGCCAGTCCTCTGGTCTGGGCAAATGCATGGTCAAACACTTGCTTGAAATACTTGGTATTTGGCAGAAATAATTGATTCAGAAACCAGAAACTGTGATAGCTGGAAGTACTACAATTTACTTCTCAACTTTAGGCAGTAACATACACTACAAACTGCCATGATTTTGCACTATGATTATAATACCTGCATTTCTAATTTCAAAACGTTTAATTGATTTTAGAGAAGGGAGAGAGACACAATTTCTATGCCACTTATTTATGCATTCATTGGTTGAATGCCTCATGGGAGGGGAATAAAAAAATAATAATAAACCTAATACCACTTGTACTATAGTAGACATAAACATTACTTCATAAATAAGGGTTTATGCTCTATTGTATTTGAATTGAAATGAAATATTCCTCTAAGACTCTATTTTGCCTGACTAGTAGGAAATTCAGTTTCAGTCTGTGTTTGACTTCAGCTCCCTAGAGTCAAACAAAATTTCAAAACATTTACTGAAACAGGAGAGGGCTTTCCAGTCTTCAGCGCAGCATGATTTTTGCACTGCACTCCTCATCCAAACCAATGGAATAACTAGAAGGGAGCAGGTCCACTGAGCAAGGTGAGGCACCTGTGGTCTGTGTCCAGCTGGAACCCCAGTGCTCAGAGCAGCATGTCCCTCATTCCCAGAGGCTCTGCTTCTGGCACATGCCACTTGTGGGCTCCTCAGACCTTTGGTCTCTTCCTCATTTGGGGGAATCTTGTCTCTGTGTCTTCTTCATAACAGAATTTCCTCCAAGGATCTCTGACTTAAGGGAAATGGTAGCCAGAATGGCAAGCTATCTGCCAACAACTTGAACTTCACAGCTTCTATGGGGGAGTTTGTAGTAAGGGGCTAGGCACCTGCTTGGAGTGGGGGCAGGGAAAGGACATAGCTCCAAACACAAATGAGTATTGCCGTCAGTGGTCCTGTATTTCTACTGCTATTAATAAATGATAAACATTACTGAGCATGACTCTCTGTTTGTACTGATGATCAAATTGAATTCTGAAAACTTTGCCATGTTTTAAGACAGACAACTGAGGCTTAGAGAGTTTAACTTTCCCAAGTAGCAGAGCTGGGATTAGAACCCAAACCAAATCCAAAGTTCAACCCTTATTTTATATTTTTTCTCTCAAGGGTACCGGTAATATTTTTTAATCTAAAAAAATTTTTCAAAAACAAATACATTTTCAAGTACAGTTCAATTGCATACAATATTGTATTTGTTTCAGATGTACAGCATAGTGATTAGACATGTATGAAACTTACGAAGTGATCACCACCAGCAAGTCTAGAGGTACCAGCAATATTTTATTTTGAGCACAGGGAGCTGCCAGGATAGGTTAGCTGCAGCATGAGCTCCCAGATTGCTCAGTGAATTCATCCATGGAACACCATGGCTCAGAGTTCTCCATCTGGTTGTCAGAGTGCATTTGCCAAGACTCAAGAATAACAGTGCTGCTCTGGGTGTAATTAATGTTTAGACAATAACTGGTCAGCATGTTCAGCTGCTTCTTGAGGTCACTCCTGGGATATGAAAATAGGACCCTGTATTGGCATAAACAGGATGTTGGTTTTCTCTGCGCTCTGTCAGGAGGCCATTATCTCGGTCATCTAGAAGTTATATCAAATTGCTCAGGTGCACATTCAAAAGGGGGGTGGCAGTGGAATATAATCTGGCCTAGTTTTGTGTTGTTTAAAATAGAAAACTGATGGATCTGAAATCCATTTCTGCTCAATATGATTCTGGAGGTAGTATTTTAGTAAAGTCCTAAAAGAACATTTAAAGTCTTAGATCAATTTTTAAATTGTACAGCTTGGCCGATAAATGATTCCTGTTTATGGAGTCAAAAGCTAACACAGCCAGTAAATCAATACATAACAGTCATTATGGCCTTACTCCCTGCCTCCCCCGACAGCTGGCATGGTGGGTGATTCAAAACAGGCTGGGCTCTTTACTCAAGATATTCATAATATGCTTCAGGGGCTTTCAAATGTTGCATGCATCAGAATCTTCCCTGAAGGTTGTCAAAAACAGAGCTGCCTGGGCCCCACTTCAGACCCACTGTCTTAGTCTATTGGGGCTGCTATAACAAGACACCATAAACTGCGTAGCTTAAAAACAACAAGTTTATTTCTCATAGTTCTGGGAAGCCCAAGATCAAGGTGCTAACATGGTCTCCTGCTAAGCCCTCTTCCTGATTCATAGCCGGCACCTTCTGGCTGTTTTCTTACATGGTGGAAGGTTCTAGGGAGCTCTCTGGAGCCTCTTTTATAAGGCACCAATCCACCCTCACTATGTACCATTGAAGGGCCCACCTTTTATTTCACTGCCTTTGGGAGATAAGATTTCAACATATGAATTTGGGGAAACACATTCAGACTGTAGCACCCACTGGGTCAAAATCTTGGGGAGTGGGACCCAGTCATCTTTCTATTTAACAAGTCTTTAGGTGGTTCTGATACTCATCAAGGTTTTCAAGCAAGCCACATGGCTGATGGTGTTTCAGTAATATAAACCACCAATATACTGTTTTCTCTATTGTACTGTATTATATTCTGTATATAGCTATACAGCATCTCAGGATGTATAGGAGATATATAGGCATACCTATGTGTATCTAGAGACACACTAGTCTCTTAGTTGCATGTACAGTATTGAAATATGCCTGCAGATATATATCTATTATTATAAATCATAGTAAATATTTACTGAGCATCCATATGTATCAGACACCATTCATTCATTCAACAAATATTTATTAAGAGCCTACTATGGGCCATCAGAAAATAAAACAAGAGAAAAGCCCCATCCTCTGGGACATTATATTTTAGTAAAGGAACACAAGTCATAAACACAATTAAATAAGACAATTATATGATGATGAATACCATGGCAAGAAGTCCAGTGCAAGGGTACAGGGACTGCCAGGGGTGGTGGCAGGATTGCAATTTAGAATAGGGTGGCCGGGGAAGACTCGAGGGAGGACAGGGAGTGAGCCCTGTGGATATTTGGAATGCAACTGTTCCAGATTTAGGGAACAGAAAATGCGAAGCCCTGACCTGTGGAAGAGTATTCCTGGTGGCTTCAGGAAACAAGAAGGAAACCAGGGGCTGGGGCAAAGTAAAAGATGTGGTCAAGCCCTGGCTGGCGTAGCTCAGTGGATTGAGCGCGGGCTGCGAACCAAAGCATCGCAGGTTCGATTCCCAGTCAGGGCACATGTTTGGGTTGCAGGCCACGGCCCCCAGCAACTGCACATTGATGTTTCTCTCTCTCTCTCTTTCTCCCTCCCTTCCCTCTCTAAAAATAAAGAAATAAAATCTTAAAAAAAAAAAGATATGGTCAAAGAGGCAAGGAATGGGTGGAGGTGTGGATTTTGTAGGAGGAGCCAGGTGGTCTCTGGAGGAGTTTAGCTTTTTACTCTGGGGTAGATGAGAAGAGTCCTGAACCTGGGAAGAGGTCTTAAGGGGATCATTCTGGCTGATGAGAACAGGAGGTGGGTAAGGCTGGAATCAGGACACCAGTTGGGAGGCCACTACAGTAAGCCTTGGGAGAGATGGTGAATGGGCCCGGAGCAGTGAAGGTGGTAAGAAGAATATGGCTTCTAGCTGCACTGGGAAGGCAGGGCCAGAAGTTTTGCTGACGGTTTGGATGTGGAGGGTGTGACCCAGGAGCTTTTCCAAGGATCCAGGGCGTGGCCCTTGGCTGTACTATTAGCTCTGAGGCCAAATTTGGTCCTGCAGGTGGGTCATGATTTGGTTCCAAGAAAAGGATCGCATGTTTGTTCTAAAATCATATCTTATACACTTAAAATTTGTAAATGTATTGTCTGTACATAACACCTTAAAGAAAAAAAATTCATCTGAAGAAGCAATCAGGTAGTCTGACTCACTGCAGCAAGACCCTTCCTGGGGTGCTGGTAAATGCGGACCGTGCCCACAGTGACATTTCTTTCCGACATGTAGTTAAGCTCTGGAAAGCTGCTTTTGCCAACAAAAACATATATTCTGGATAGGATAATGAATAGTATTTATTGTTCCATTTGTTTCAAAGCACTTTTATGTAAATCCTCAAAAAAATCCGTTCCAAGGCTGATAGTGGACATTGTTACCGTCTCCATTTGAGGATTCAGAATGAACCTGAGATCCAGGGAGGATAAGAGATGTGGGAAGGACAGGCTCTGCTGAGCAGACCTTGTATTTCATGACTTTCTCCTCTTGACTGTGTGGCTAGATGTGTAGTGACTGGTCCTCAGTCCAGGGAACAGAGGTATGCTTGTGCACGTGCCCATGCACGTGAGTCACACTTGGGTTATTAAGTACAATGATCTAGTAAAGGAACTGGAACTGACTGTTCAAACCTTCTATAATTCAGGCCTCTTGGCTCCTTCTCTCTCCCTTCTCTGTCTCTTTGATCATTGTGTTTCTAAATACTCATTTTCACTGAAGGGTGGGATAGGGAAATAAAAAGATAATGCAAGTCATATTAGTAGTGTGGAGAACAGTTTTAATAAAAGCCACAGTGAAGAATGCAGTTGTAATTAGCACTAAAATGAAATTCTGAGTGCTAGTGAATTTCAGCTTGCTTTGCTTTCCTGATCCTTTGTTCCTGTTAAAAACTGAGTTTGATTATGCAAAGCACCTAGCGAGACTGAGCTCCTTTAACAGAAATACCATAGGATTTCACTCATATGTGGAATCTAATGAACGAACTGAACTAACAAGCAAAACAGACAGACTCATAGATGGAGAGCAGATGACAGCTAGTTGCAGGGGGGGAGGTTAGGGAGTGGAGGGATTGAGCAAGAAGGAAGGACTGATGGACACGGACAACAGGATGGTGATTGCTCGAGGGAGGGGGGTATAAGGACTAAATGGTGATTGGAAAAAATACAATAAAGATTAAATCTTTTAAAAAAGAAGCCATGTCTGTACTGAATGGCTGTGAGCAGGGCTGGGGCCAGCGTGCAGCATTTAATGTGCTTGCCTGTTTCAGTTTGCAGTGATAACCTTACCCACAAATTCAAAGGCTTCACTGTGATGAATGAAGCCGAGCGATATGAAGCTCTCAGACACTGCCGCTATGTAGATGAAGTCATTAGAGATGCTCCATGGACACTTACACCCGAGTTTTTGGAAAAACACAAGGTACTTATTCTTTCTTGTTCTCTAAGTAGCAGAACTGGGAGTCTGGCTCTGCAGCCAATATCCAGAAAGCCCAAAGTCACTTCCAATTTCTAAAAAAGCAGCTGTCATTTGGTGTCACTTGATGTAGCACCTCTCTCCTGCCCAATCCTAGGGACTGATACCCTCTCACGTCTTCACTGTGGACTTTGGAGCTAGAGTCTCCACCAGGTCTAGGTGTGGCCTCTAATCCCTCCCTAACCTTGAGCAAAATATTGAACTCATTTACCTAAACTGTAAAATGGGGTGATATTGGTGCTTTCCTCATGGTGCTGTTTTGAGGGTCTAATGAGTTCGTCTCAGTGGAACCCTTGAAACAGTGGCTGGCTCATAGCAAGAGCTCCAGAAATGTCATTATTGTCATCGTCAACAGCAGCAGCAGCCGCTGCACTGTCATTATTTGTGCTTATAGATTTGCAGGCATTATTTTTCATGGAACAAATGAACACACATCTTATCCAGAAGGGCAGGGGTCAGCCTTTAAGGAAAGAACTTTATGTCTATGATTTTGTGACCCTGAGGCTCCTACTGATATAAGATTTGTATTAGCTGAAAACATGAGAAATTCTTTTGATTTGCATCAAATTATGTGCTTTGTATCTCCCTACCAGCCCCACATTAGGAGCTATTCTTCCCTTTTATAAGCAGCACAAAAAAATAAGATTAAGCTGTTCTAAGAGTTTTCTTGTCTATTTTTAAATTCACGATGCAGAAGAGAATAGAGAACACTGATAAATGTGCATTGGTAATAGCAGAGGAGACAATTTCCCAGCGAGAATAAAAAGAAAAAGGAAGAGCTACAATATGATTACTTCTAGCAATCACTAACACATTTTTACTAAGCATCTATTATATATTCAACTTGTGCTAGGCATTATGGGGAGACTCATGATGGTGATGATGGCTGCCACTTATTGAGTATTCACCATGTGCCCAGCCCTGTGCTAAGTGCTTTGCTCTTACACAAATCATATTCAATGCCATGACTACCCACCCTGAACAGTTGTTATTATTAGCATTATACATTGCACAGGAGGAGAAACTAAGTTTGAGTACTAAGAATAGAATAATAACAACATTTATTGAGTACTTACTATGTATCAGTTATTACTTTTAAACATTTTTACATAATATATCATTTAATCCAGTGATTCTCAAGTGAGGGCAGGTTTGCCCCCAAAGGACATTGGGCAGGGCATGGAAGCATTTTTGGCTGTCACAACTAGAAGGGTGCTACTGGCATCTAGTGGGTAAATGCCAGGGGTGCTACTGAGCATCCTACAGTGCACAGGACAGAATCCCTTGAAGAATTATCAGCTCAAAACGTCACTGGTACCAAGGTTGAGAAATCCTGATTTAACTGATACCATTGATTTATAAGTATATAGCTTGTAAGTGGTGGGGCAGGAATCATATCCAGGCAAATTAAACTGCTACTCCAAACTACCTCTCAAGGTGGAGTGTAGTTGTGTTATAAAGAGCTGTGAAAGCTCGGCAAAGATGTTTTTAGTTGATGTGGTAGGAAACAGGGAACTGGTAGAGATCAGCAGGCATGAGGATGACAAAGAGATAATTCTGGTTAAGGAGGATCCCCCATGAGACAGAAGAATGGCTTGGAAAGGAACCTGCAGTGAGGAAGGCCAGCTACAAGTTGGTATCAATAATCCTAGATTATTGTAGTAGCAATAAAGAGGAAATGAGGTCAATTCCAAGGTGATTGGGACCTATGTGAACTGGGAAAATGGAGGTGCCATTGGAAGGGGACGTCAGTTTTTAGGATGAGTTAAATTCCACCCCCGTGGTAACATACTCTTCTCTCTTTCCAACAGATTGACTTTGTGGCCCATGATGACATTCCGTACTCTTCTGCTGGCTCTGATGATGTTTACAAGCACATAAAGGAAGCAGGTGAGGAGTTCTGGGCGCCCCCGTCCACTGTGGCACACTAAGCAGGTTTAATGAAACATCTGCCCTAGACCTGCAGTGTACACATACCAGGTGTTGGAATTTCAGAGGTCCCCCAGGTAGCCTCTACAAGACTGTTCACATATGCTAAATGGTGCAGCTACTGGTTAGGTAGTTATATAGGAATTAACCAAAGTACTCAACTTCCGGTTTGAGGCGCGATTTTAAAGTTCATCAGACTAAAATCACAGGACCTTATGGAGGGGCAGTCATTTTCCTTACTCACAATGAAGTCCTCACAACAAAATTATTAATATTTTTTTTAGAAATAAATGCTTGATTTTTAAAAATATTTTTTTATTTATTTTTAGAGAGGGAAGGGAGAGAGAGAGAGAGAGAGAGAGAGAAACATCAATGTGTGGTTGCTGGGGGTCACTGCCTGCAACCCAGGCATATGCCCTGACTGGGAATCGAACCTGCGACACTTTGGTTTGCAGCTGGCGCTCAATCCACTGAGCTATGCCAGCCAGGGCACAACAAAATTATTTTATACTCCCAAGAAAGTCCCTTCTAGAAGAAGACAGATAACTGGCTAATTAACGACCAGGACTCCTTATCTGCAAAGTCAGTCCTGCCATATGTCATCTTGTCACATGATAATAATATCCTCAGGTACCACATGCAGAGGCCAAAAAAGAAGGGATAAGTATTTGTAGATTTAGGTAATATATTTTCTTCTTGAAGCTGTTAAGTGTTGTCGTGGAGGGCAGACATGGTGCCTGAACTTTGGAAGTTGTCCTGTTTGTCACTAAGCATTTCTGTCTAGGTCAGAGACAGGTCAACTCGAGGGTGTTCTTGGGGCAGGGGAGACAGAGAAGTGGGTTTCCTTCTCTTGCAGACCCCCTGGAGTTAATTTCTTCATCAGGTTCTGTGTTCCTACTGCTGTGCTGCTGGATCACTGCTAGAGCTTCATAACAGATCTGTGGTTTCTAGTCTCAGTAGGATTCTTGGGGCTCCTTGGTGATACTTATCCCCTCTTCTTCTCCCCGCAACCAATTTATCTGTAACTCATGCATTCTTGCCTCCTCTCCTGCATCCTGAGAAAGAGGGGTTTGTTTTCTGTCCCAGGCTAACCTCTTGATCTGAATCTACCTTCTCCCTTCCCTGGAGCCTGTTTTCTTTCATTCTTCTTCCTCTCTTTGCTATCCAAGGTTCTCACTTTCTAGTAGTTTTTTCTCAGCTTGCAATCATGGGGAGGTCTATAGAAACAAACGAAACAAACCCAAATCCTTCCTCTACGCTCCCTCTTCCCCCCTTCTCCAGCCACATCCTTCTCCAGCCTCCTTTTCCAGGCAAGTTTCAGGCACACCTCCCTGTCATTCCTCAGTCACCTGCAGTCTGACTTTTGTCCATCCTTCCTCAGTTCTGCAATGACCTTTGAACCACCAAATCCAGGAGCCTCATTCCAGTCCTCGTCTGGGCATAACAACCATGCTGGCCATTCTCCTTTCTTAGGTGTTCTTGTCCACCACTTGTGGGACACCTCTGGGACCTTCTAATTGCCTTTTGGTATCTCTGGCCACTCCTGGGTTTTATTGTCATTTTCTTTGCCTCGGCCCTGCGCAACCTCTTCATCTCACCAGTCTGGGCTCTCTGCACTGCCTTCCACAGACCCTATGGTCCAGGCACACCCTGTTGAGTTCCTTTGCTCTGCTGTTCTCTGGGCTAGGGATGCCCTTCCTCTAAGCTTCTATGACTGTTCCAGGCTCAGGTGAGGAGCCAGCTGCTCCCCCCACCCTGCCTTGGACACTCATTGCACATGGACCTCCTTTTCAGCTTCCTTCTCATGTCATCCTGACGGTTTCTTGGTGTGCGTCCCTAGCTAGAATGAAGTGCCACAGGCCATAGCCATGTCTCCTCCAGTTTTGTATCCCCAGCACAGTGCCTGGAACATGTGTAGTATGCATTAATGCTGGAGGAACAAGGGTGCTTTTATGGAGTATGATGGGGAGTTAGCTTAAGACGGAAGCCTTCCCAACACATGGGGAATGGAGCCATTTAGATAATTTGCCACAGCTCTATTGTGTGGGATTGTTCCTATTATTTATATATAAGGGTGATATTTTGGCCTGAATTATATGGGCCTTTGCATCCAGTTTGTTTGCTTTTCATTCGTCTCCTGGCACTGAGTCCCTCACACACACCTTTACTGAAGGAGATGCTGACCACAAAATTACAGACAGACGTTGGAGATCCTTCAGATTCAGTTTTAGACCACCGCAATAAAGCAAGTGTAGTACTCCCAACCATCATAGCCTCACAGCCCAGCAGAATCTCAGTGAGAGAGGGAAGGGTTTGCCATTTGATTGGTTTCAAAGGTGACTGTAATCTGAATGAAAAAGCTTTAAAGTTATAGCTATGAATTTGCCTTTGTGTTGCTCTAATTATAACAGGCAAGAATATAAATCACAAATTTTAGGTACTTTGGGGGGACAAATGTATAATGGAAAAATAGGCTCTGCTGTACACTCACTACCCAGTACTTGTCATTTTTCTGAGCTGAGGTTTTTCATCAATGTTGCAGAGTTTAAAATAATCACCTAAGAATTAAAATAGTCATTGCTGGGATTTTGAAAATACCCTGCCTTCCCAGATTATATCCATCTGGATTACTCAAAAAGACAGATGGGGAAAAGGTAATTACTTTTATCCTCTTATAGGGTCAGATGGCTTTTCTGGCCCTAAAAATGGAGATGTCCAAGATGGAGGGGGCGGTATAGTAACCTGAATTACTCAGCTTCTCCATCCCCCTCCGTCATTAGACGCCCTGCCGTAAGCCTCCCGTCGGCCTATTGCTGCATGAGAATCTTGGAGCAGGGAAGAGTATGGAACTGGTATTTTATCTAGAGGTAGGTACAGAAGGAGATTTTTAATGTCTTGGTTTCTTTTTTGCTATTTTGCTTATTGTCATACATCCCATGGATAGGCACTGTGGGTGCATCCATGCATACCTTCCTACATACATTAAACCATGATCTGGCCTGATACAGATACTCTAGTGAATTACCATATGCTTTACTGAGGGATTTCAAGAAGCCTAATATACATTATACTTGAGCCGCCCACATTGCTGACATTTGCCATCAGAGCTATCTTCCCTGTTCGCAGGGGCCATTGGAACCCAACCCATGTTGGTTCCACCATCCGGCACCCTCACCCTCCTGCCACTCCAGCCTTTCCCTGGTACTCCTCATGGACCTTCAGATTCTTGAGGTAGGATGGGCCCCTGAGAGTCACTAACTTACTCTCCTATCCCTTCCTTGGCATCACTGTCAGCATCTGGTAGACCTAATGCTTATCCATCTCCTGCGATGGGGTGGGGAGCTCCCTGCTTCCACAGACTATTTCACCTTTGAATGGTTCTGACTCTCATTGGTTAACTCAAGAATCCCCTGAGTGCATCCCCAAGCCAGCAGTTGTTGGAGGGGAAATGAAATACAAATATGAATAAGATAAACCGTAACCCTTGAGAGAGAGCAGGACCAGAAATAAATAATTCATTATTACCAAAATATTATAAGCCTGTGATGGGCATATATAGCAGGCTAGGGAAGTATGCCCAATGGTAGGAATGTATGAAGGAATGCAGCATATTTGGAGAAAATCAAGAGCGTTTATGTGGTATAGGGTGTGCAGAGGTGAGAGCAGAGGTAGAGACCAGCAGGATGGGTGGTTTGGGCTTCATTCTGTATGTCACATGGAGCTAGCTGCCACTAACTCAGGGGAGGACCATCAGCAGGTCTCTTGTAGAGGAGTGACCAACTGGCTAAGAGAACAAAAGTATTTTCTGTAACTGAACTTATTTAGAAGGCCCCGTTTCTGGGAAAAACCCTGCTTAACGTTTGAAGTAATTCAGACTTTTCTAGGTTGGCACTTAGATTATGTAGAGTCAACTTTGGGCCTTTTTTTCCTGGTGTTTTCTGGGCCTACGTATTGGCCTATCATAAGGTAGAGATCCGGTTCTGGCTGACCTTAGATTTTGGGGTATCAGGTCCTGCTCAGCCATCACCTATGGCTACCAAACCCCCATTGCAACCCTCTGACACTGTTACCTTCTCCATCTGTTCCCCAGCCACCTTCACTCCCTGTGCTGCTAGTATGCCACTCAGCAGTCATGCTGATCTTAAATCTCAGCTACCTTAAGTCTTCCTAGAGGGGATCGCTGGAAACTTGGAAAATGTCCCCCATAATTTCCTGGAGGGCAAAGGAAACACAGGTAGTGGGAGGGAGCAGTGCCAGACCCTGCCTGACTTGCCCGTCATGCAGAACACTCTACTGAGGCCTCACTTCCCCACAAAAGTTCCTGGAGGTAAAGTGTGCCGGATCCTCTGCTTTGGGCTTTCTCAGGGGTCTCTTCCCTGTCCCTGGGGCTTGAACCTGAGTGGGGGGCATGGGACAGGCCCTGTTCACGTTCTCTGGCTTCGCTGCTTGTCTCCTGATCCCTGCCTGGGCTCTTTCCCTCAACCCCAGGAGGGGCTTTTCTTCTTTCTCCTGGAGGCAGGAAACCACCCCCTTGTCAATTTCATGTCTCCTCCACTCGGGGACTTAGGGTAAAACATTCTGTACCCTGAGCCTACTCAGCTTTTGGTTCTTAACAATTAGAGGGACACTTCTGGGATTTAGAAAACTTTTTTGTACTCCTTGAAGCTTGGCTCCTACAGGTAAAGGCCTTCCCTTTCATAACTATTCTTTTAAAAATGAGCCTTCACAAGAGCCTGTTTTAGAAGTCAAAAGCTAAACGCAGTCTATTGGATTCTTAGCTCCAACTACCTTCCCTTGATGTGGGGAATCTCCATGCAGCCCCCAGCAGGGCTGGTGGTCAGTTCTGTCCCCGTGCTCTTAGAAAGGGCTTCCTCAGTGGTCAGGAACATTGGGTAAGAATGGGAGGCCTGACATTCTCAAATCCTGATCTTGTTTGAAAGGCGTTCCAAGACAGGAAACCTAATACAGTTCAGACTTGCAAGGCTGCTGAGGACCATGTCCGGGAGGGGGAGAAACTGGCTGATACAGCAGTTACGTCAGTTTAAGTCTTTGTAAGATCTGAGCTGTGAGCTAGCTGCTCCTAAACTGTCATGAGGACCTGGTAGAGACCATTGCTTGTCAAATGGAAATGTGCCTACAGATCCCTGCAGGATCTTTTTAAAGTGCAGATTTGGACAGGGGGCCTGGTGGGACCTAAGGTCTCCATTTGTGATGTGCTCCCAAGCTGTTAGAAACTGCTAGTCTATATACCTGACCTAGAGTAGTGAGAATCTAGACCAAGGATTCTGGTTCACCCAGGGTTACCCCCAGGGTTAATTGAATCAACATTTCCTAGGGTGACACTTCCTCTGTCACCCCAAGAACAAGAAGCATTCGGTGGTGGTTTTACTTCTGGATGAGTGACCTCTAGTGAGCTCAGAAAAAGTTGCTTTCTGATTTTAGGGAGTCAAACCTCAAGTCCACTTGTTTAGATGTAGGAACAGGTCCAACATTTTTCTAACTCTAAGCAATCCAGCACCCTATTGTTGCACAAGAAATTACTGCCACAGTTAGTGACTTAAAAGAGCCACTTTATTTTGCTCGTGATTTTGTGGGGCAGGGTTTCACCAAGGGTTTGGCTGGGTGGTTCTAAAACAGCTGTTGTCAGCTGTTGGCTGGGGCTGCAATCATCTGAAGCCCCAACTGGACTGAAGGCCCCAAATGGGGCACTTACGTGACTGGCAACAGAGGCTGGCTGCCCACAATGTGCTCAGTTGGGCTTGACACTGGAGCACCTGCACACGGCTGCTCCGTCTTGCGTGGGCTTCTCACAGCATGGTGGCTGACTTCCAAGAGTATGCGGCTTAAGAGGAGGCATCTGGAGGGCTGGCCATCTCAAGAGCTGTACACTTCTGACCTAGCCTTGGAAGTCACCCAGTGTCACTTATACCACATTTGATTTGTTACAAGCAAGTCACTAAGGCCAGCCCAGATTCCAGGGGATGGGAATTGTGCCCGTGTTTAATTCAACCACAGTTCCCATCTCCAAATTGAACAGTTGGGTGGTATTTCACTTGCCCTGGGAGCACAGGCATAAGACTATGTGTGACTTTTCATATGAACAGGGACCCTTTCTTGTGGTCCACAGAGCTGCTCTGCTGAGTCCTTACCAAGGGAGAGGCTCACAGAGGTCTGTCTGGGGCCCTGGTACAGAAAGCCAGAGTGCTTGCTATTCATTGTGGGAGAAAGATGCTCAGAAATGGTCTAGGCATCCACATTCGGCTTTTATACTGAAGGTGTATTTTGAAAGTCAGAAATCACTTGAAATGAAGCCAGAGATGTCAAGGGCATGAATTAAACTGCATAGCACTCTGCTCTGCTTGTCAGGGCTACGTGTCAAAAATCCTGCAGCCAACCTGGACGACAAGATGGAGCTTAAATGAAGTAGACTGTAAGGTCCACATTACTCATCATCATTCTAATATTGCCTACTACTGTTGAAAGTTTCCTTCATTAACATGTGCTTTGCTGCTGCTTAAAATAGCTCTATAACCAAATGCTGCAATTCTGAAAAGCACGATAAAAAAGGTTCTCTGATCATGCTCATTACTGAATATTTTTAGCAGAGCAATAATTAGGATGTGGAAGAAGCTGGGTGCCTCATTTTATCAGCAGAGGGCTTGGCTTCTTTCAGAGACCTACCTCTCAACCAGCCAAAGCAAATCTCTCCCCAACACCAGCTTTCAGTTCTTCAGCTACAGAGACCTCATCCTATGGTTTCAAAGCAGCAAGGGTGAGCTCATGTCACCAGTGTCTAAGTGATTTGCTGAAGTCCTTTAATAGCTGGAGAATCTTAACATTTCAGCAGGGAGGGTGGGGTGAAATATCTACCTGCTGAAAGATGGGGCATACTTCTCACCAGAAAGCTCCCTGCTGCTCCCACCAAGGTGAGGCTGTTATGTGACCCCTCCCCTTGCCCCCCGGACCTGAGTGGTCACTCAGTTCTCCACCCACCAAAGCACCTCACACAGCTGAGTCACTTGGGTGCTATTTATATTCATGCATTTAGCTATTCGCAGCCTCTGCCTTTCATCTGGTTTTCTGGAGTCCACCTTTTCAGAAGATGATAAAAGAATTTTTTGGTCAAGTGGCAACCCCACCTCTGTCCTTGGAGTCACAGGATATTAGAAACCAGATGCTTTGTCTCTAACATCAGCAGTGCCCCCCTGCTGCTGCTACTGTGAATGTGCAGTGATAGCAAAAGAAAGCTCTAAAGAGACATCCTAGGAGGGTCCAAAAGACTAAAAAATCCACCCATGTTGACAGAATCAGAGAAAATTGGATTTGGAAAGGCACTTAGAGATCAGTATCCATCTAGTCATTCATTCAACAGATGTTCCTATAGTGCCTAGTTGTCACCTGCCACTGAGGAGACACAAGCAGTCTCTTCCCTCATGTTAGCATATAGTCAAGCGGGGAAGACATTTTTTGAGCAAGTTGTTTTATAAAGACCTTGGAATATTTGAAGGAAAAGGGCAGTTGGACCTTGGTAGGGAAATAGCAACCAGAAGACCCTGTCAAGGGTTGAGAGAGTTCCTTGAGAAAGTGACACTACAGGTGAAAGCCAATGGATGACCAGGAATTAACGAAGTGGAGTGTGTGTGTGGCAGAGTAAGGGGAGGGGCTCAGCCCATTGCCCAGCACCAGTGAATAGGAGAACGGGGCCCCTGCAGCTGTGTAGCACAGGGACCTGGCTCAGGGAGTGTAGGAGGTGGAGAGGGTTTGGGATGAGACTGGAGGGAAGCACAGGAAAGATGCTACAAGCTGCTGCAGAGCCAGGTTAGGGATTTGGACCTAAATACAGAGGACAGTAGAAAGCCCATGAAGGATGTTGGGCAGGCATATGACTTGCATTGTGAAAGACTGCTCTGCAATCTTATTGTGTGGACAGAGAATTGGGGGGACAAAAAATGGCATCTTTGGAGACTGCTGTTGAGGCGCTGTGGAAAAAGATGTTAGATTGGTTTAATGGAGAAAAGTGGGTCAACTGGGGAGACATGTATGAAGTAGATTGGTGATTGGAAGGCAATTGGGTGTAAAGCAGGGGTGTCCAACCTTTTGGCATCTCTGGGCCACACTGAAAGAAGAAGAGTTGTCTTGAGCCACGAATTTCACACACACAAAAAAAATCACACAAAAAAATGTCATTATATTTTAAGTAAATTCACAATTTTGTGTTGGGCCACATTCACAGCCATCCTGGGACACACGCAGCCCGCGGGCCACAGGTTGGACACCCCTGGAAGAGTGAGGAAGAGGGAACTGGCACGAATGAGATTGAGGTCGTCTTGTCTAGCCACCTCATTTCTGAGCTTTGGAGACTGAGATTAAGTAACTTGCCTTCTGAAGCTTGAGAAACTGCCCAGTCTACAAACCAAGAACCCAGCCCCCTCGTCTCCAGGCTCCATCCATCATGCCATCCCGTGCCTGATGTCTCTGACTGAGTAGCCGTAATCATACTGGGTAGAAAGATCTCAATTGCCAGCACAGCATTTCAGTTGTCTGTAAGGAAGTTCTTTTGGAATTTGACATCCTGTACTTTTTTTTTTTTTTTACTCAGTCCCACATATTCTGGATGAAAGGGCCTTTGAGTGGTGAAATCACCATGCAGAGTAGAACAGTCTTAGGGAAATAAAGTCATCTAGCACCCCACGAGCATGTCTTTAGATCAGAGACAACAAAAACAGTACACCTTTTCTCCAGCATAATGTGACACAGATCTCCTTGGGGAAGAAGGGGGGATGTGGTGAAGGGGGGATACGGTGATCTAAGTCATTGACTCAGTTGTTATTCTCCATTCACTTAGCACCTTCCGTGTGCTACATACAGGGGCACTGAGCCTGGTGCTGGAGAAGCAAAGACAGTCAAGGCATAATCTGTGCTTTCAGAATGTTCTCTTTCTTCAGGGAGACAGACATTTAAAATATTACTGTTAATGGCCCTGGCTGGTGTGGCTCAGTGGAATGAGTGCAGGCCTGCAAATCAGAGGGTTGCAGGTTCGATTCCCAGTCAGGGCACATGCCTGGGTTGTGGGCCAGGTCCCCAGCAGGGAGCTGCAAGAGGCAACCACACATTGATGTTTTCTCTCCTTCTCTTTCTCCCTCCCTTCTCCTTTCTAAAAGTAAATAAAATCTTTGAAGGTAAAAAATAAAATAAAATACTTCTGTCAATAGAAGATGTGCTACATAGCTGCATGGGGCACCATTCTCGTTGTATGTCCTCAATGTTTTGGATTCTGCCCAGAGGTGTCAGGAAAGACTTCTCAGAGGCATAACCTCAAAGCTGGATGCTGCAGGATGAGGACAAATGATGTGGCTGATGTGAGCAAGGGAGGAGTATTCAAGGCAGAAAGGAAGGGCTGGGTCTGAGCAAATGCCGGGAGCTGGGTGAGTGTGTGGTGCTTCTAGGGAACAGGTCTAGGAGGATGAACACTCAGCATTTACGGTAGAAAAGAAGCACACAGAATACAGCCTGGAGAGTCAGCTGGGGCCAGATGTGAAAACCTCACTGGCACACCCAGCAGTACACCTTTGCCCTGGAAAGGAGGATGAAAGAAGATGGATCAGCCAAGTGCATCTTAATTTTTTCTCTTTGTCTTGTTTTTACTCTTTGAACAGGAATGTTCGTTCCAACTCAGAGAACAGAAGGCATCTCAACATCAGACATCATCACAAGAATTGTCCGGGACTATGATGTTTATGCCCGTCGCAACCTTCAGAGAGGGTACACAGCCAAGGAACTGAATGTCAGCTTTATAAATGTAAGTGTGCCAACTTGTACCTTCTGAGGACTACCACATCACAGCACTACCACTGTTTATTGAGCACTTACTATATGCCACTCAGTGTTCCTGATGTTTTACATGTATCATCTCATTCAAGCCACCTAACAACCCAATGGTTTATTATTATCCCCATTTTACAGATGGAAAAACCAATGTCCAAAGGAGTAACATAAGTCAACCAAGGTATACAGGTAGTGAGTTTCACATTTTACAAAGGAGTTGCCTTGCTTCCCTCTCCTCATCCCAACCTCCCTCTTTAGAGCTCTCAGACTCGGGTCAAGGGTCTCTGGGAGATCTACCCTCCTGAAAAGCAAGAATTTTCTTCTGCTCAAAGGGAAGGAGGGAGGCTCAGAGAGACGATGGAAAGCTAAACCCAGAGAAAATGCTTTCTTGTTCTAACACTTTAAATTTTTCATTTTATTAAGGCCTTACAGATGCTTGCTAGACACCTTAACAGCTATTTTTTATTGTCCAGAGAAATTACAGCTGCTTAAATAAAGCCTAAAGTCTTTGGTTTCCTTGGATATTTCTGCCGTATTGTTCCCACTGAGCTGCTGTTAGTTTAATAATAGAGCAGCTGTTAAAACAATCTTTAAAACAAGCAAAACATGCTGTTAAAAAGCAAGGAGGGCAGCCCAGTTGCTGGAGGTGATGTTAGCAAGTCTGGACAACTCCATTTGCCTAGACTCTGATGAGCCCATGTAGTTGATTAAAACAAGAACTCTCCATCCCTACAGAAGTTCAGCTCCCCAAAATAGATACTGTATTTTTAAAGAGGGATTTTTCTACAAAACTAGATGCTTATAATTACGCATAGCCATAATTATCCAGCAGCTTACACAAATTGACCACTAGTACCTTCACAATGAGGAGGAGCTCGTTAATTGTAAATCAGGGATTATTAGTTGTCCCTCATGAGGTGGGGGTGTTGGCAGTCCAGGCTCTGTGGCTTCACACAAATCGTACAACAAAATGGAAAATGTAGGATTCAAGTGGCACCTGAATAAGCGGCTGCAAAGAAGTCAAAGTGATTACTCGGCATTCTCATAGGGAATAAATCCCTGGTTATTGCAATAAATTAAACTTCTTTTAAACTAAATTCAGTCAGCCATCCAAGCATCTCATGCCATTTCCAAAAGTTCTCGCTCGTTCTCTTTAAGCGGCCTTTGGATAAGCCACTTAGCTTAGGGGACCGTGTAGTCAGCAAGGATGCTCTCGTGGCCTTTCTGTGACAACCAACCTGGCTTCAGCCCAGAGATGGAGTCAAATGTGTTGGGTGGGCATGTAGATGAATCACAGAACCTCAGAGGTGACAGGCACTGGCTGAGGGTCAGTCACCCAGTCCAAGTCCCTGCATTTAGAAATGAGGAAAGCTGAGCTCAGAGGGACTGTGATCAAGGTCCCACAAGCAAAGTAGAGGGGAGGCCGCAGCAGCCGCCCCGCCTCATGGTTCCCAGTCCAGTGCCCATTCTGCCACTACATTCTGCCCTGAGTGCTGGGTATAGTAACCATATATTAAAAACAGCTGAGTGGCAGCACATATAGCTCACACCCACCCTGAGGCTACAGTTAAGCTTGAAAGGTCTAAACCAGGGAATCTTTACTCAGTTTAGCAATATTACAGTTACCTCAAAATATTCTGAAATATGAAATGAACTTCAGTCCCATGTAGAGAAGAAAAACAACAAACCTTACTACCTATTTAGGAGAAACTGTATCATGATTTCATGGAGGGGAAGACCCCCGTCTCATGTTATTTTCATGGCTTTGAGACCACTCTCATCAGATAACAGGATTAAATGTATATGCTGCTTAATAGTAATGAAACAGACAACGCAACTGAGCTTTTAATAAATGCCAGGCTGTGCCAGAGCACACTCCATGCATTATGTTATGTAATTGTTACAGTAATCCTATAGGGTAAGGATGATAGTTATCCCATTTTACAGATGAGGAAACCGAGGTTTAGAGGTGACACATGACTTGCATAACATACAATGCCTTCCAGGCACATAGATACTAGCACTGTTGCATAAGGCCATAGGAAAAGCAAAGTCCCAGTCAAGAGAAGCTATTGGGATAAAATCTTTCTTCATCACCCAGGGAATCGATGTAGTTCAATTAGCTTAATGGAAAATATTACAATGAAAATCTGAGTATAATACATGGATTCTAAGGCCCAGCCAGTGACCCACTTTTTCAACCGATAGTGGTTTTAACAATGCCCAGTAAAACAGAAGACTCAGGCAGCCTCTGAGTGGCCATTGTATGTACAGTTTATGCTTTTATCTAAGTCTCAGCAGAATTGAGGGGGTGAATTTGCCCAACATCTACTCCAATAGTAAGAGTAAATATGTATTTTTGGTTTTTCTCTTAAATAAGTCAATTCAACTGCGATGTTTAAAAGAAAGAATATTAAAACCACTTGTACTGCACTTTACATACCCAGCAAGACTAACAGCAAGGGAGACACACCTTCCCATCAGTCCAGCTCTGGGAAACGGTAATGCTCTGGCTCTTCAGATGAAGAACACACACAGGTTGAAGTAAAATATAACCATAGTGTGAATGCTGATCTCTCTCATGCACTCTCAGATAAATGCATTTTTTCCCCCTTAATTTTTTACCAGGAGAAGAAATACCGCTTTCAGAATCAGGTAGACAAGATGAAAGAAAAGGTAAAGACTGTGGAGGAAAGGTCAAAGGAATTTGTGAACCGAGTGGAAGAAAAGAGTCATGATCTAATTCAGAAGTGGGAAGAGAAGTCCAGGGAATTCATCGGCAACTTCCTAGAACTGTTTGGGCCTGACGGAGCATGGGTATGTGATTCTTTCATTTGGCCCCGTAATAACGGGTGTTTTCAGTAACCACTTTTCATGTAACCACTCCAGGGTGTCTCTTACCTCAGTCCAATATGTGGCCTCCACTTTGGGCATCCATTAGCCTGAGTGACTTGAAGTTCATGCCACTTCCTTATTTAGTTCCTGCTCTACCTGACAATATGCTACCCGAAAGTACCCCAAGCCAGCTCTGGCCTCTGTTTTGATTTCTTGTTCAGAGCTCGAAGCCATATGGTAATCATTGAGTGTTATTACTGCAGAAGTGGGTTCCGTAGCTCATCCCAGGCTCCCAGTTGGAGAGGATACAAAGCTTGGGGGTAAGGGTGAACTGGGTCAGTGGCATCGTGCAACTTGTATTGTAAGACAAGACTAACTGGCTCTTGGATCAGGCAGGGGAGGAGACTGCAAAAGAAATGTATCTGCCTTGGTAGCTTTTGTTGGAACTTTTGTCTCTCATTGGTTGGGAGAGAGAGAAGAGGTAGGATTTTTCCCTGCATCTGTGCCCCTCATGCCCTGATTGCTGTTTTCCATGGCATGTACACATTGGCACAAAAGTCTTTGGAGACTGTGGCCACAATCTGAATCTTAAAACTGATAGAGAAAATGTCGAGGGTCTGTCTCTCACCTAAATTCTAAAGAAAAATCTGAATGAAAACTGTGAGAAGGGAAAAGAAAATCCTGGAAACCACCTTGTACTCCGTTGGTATATTCTGTTGTGCCCGCGCTTCCAGAGTAAATAACCAATATTGTTAACAGAGTTAATGAGGGTTCTATGAAAGAAATACTTCTACAGCTAACTTTCCCTTTCAAACAAAAAGAAATGATTCCATTTGATTTCCCTGATTTTAAGTAGCCTAGATTTCCTATTATGACATGAGAAGTCTCTAACAAAATCCACTTTGGTTTAATTATTTTATTGATGGGTTGTCACTCCTGCCTCTCTGCTCATTTGAGCTGGTTCATTATAGGATTATCTAAAAGTAAAACACTCAATTAGTAATAGAAAAAGAACAACGTTTGAAAAGTTTGAAGAGATGCTTTGCTTAAAGCCTAGCGGCCTATGAGTAATTGTAAAGGTGGATATTGTAGGCCAACCACCTCCTATTGGCTGAGTCTGCAAGGGGCTGCTTGAACCCTTGTTGACTTCTAGAAAGAATGGAGGAGCCATGCGCTGTATTCCTTTTCATTTTCCCTGGGCATGTTACAATGTTCACTCGGATCGGTTTGATGCATAGGACATTATTAAGGTCCTTGCGTGTGCACGGTACTAGGGAAGGGCATGAAGACAAAATACAGACCTCATTGTCTGGTATTCCATGATCTCTGTAACATAAAGCCTGAGGTTTCCCATCAGTCTGGCGTGTAATTGAATAGTTCACATTTTTCACAACTAATTTTCAGGCTCTGAAGAAATAGCTAGTGGTTCTTGAATGAAACCACGTAGGCATTAATTTGCTTATGGGGATTCAGAAATGTGTCTTTGCTGTGAAGCTCTACTATTGTAACTCAAGGGGACGTGTGTTTTCTCCATCTGCAGTGAGCAAAGGCAGGGAAGGAATATAATTCCATGGAAACTCTATGTAGATCCTAGTCATTTCAGGCTCCCAAGGAAGGCGAAGTAGTAGCTGGAACTGTTCTAGGGGATCTGGTGACAGTGAGCTGAGGTGATTTTTAAGAAATGAAACCCAGTTTAGAGACTGGAGATTTTTCTCCTTAAAACTTGCTATTAGTGTCAAAACTGTTATTAACATTAATTTACCATATCAGCCAGACTTAGACATTACTTTTTTCTGTTGACATTAAAAGTACAGGAATAGTTACAAGGATGTTCAATGCCAAGATAAGTAATTTGCTTTTCATGAATATGCTATTATTATAATAATTCTTTATTTGTGGATTTGGGACTGGAACTCATTTCTTAAAATAGAGGATCTACATTATCTGAAAATACAGTACTGGTACAAATAACCCAAACTTGAAAGGGCAGAAAATAGAAGGATTTAAGGTTCAAAATTGGGTACAACAGGATTGTTATATGTAGCTTATAGTGGGTATTCCATAAATGTTTCTGGGTTGAATGAATGGATGTGTAATGAAGACCTATTCATAGAAACTCCCAACATCTGCAAAGGATATGGTGAGGCCCCCATCTTCCATCAATCTATATTGATCTATATATACAGCAATATATACAAATAGATATGGTGCTGGATACAAAGCTTGGTTCCAACTTGGTGTTTGGTGGATCAAATTTAGCAGGCAGACTTGATTGGCTTGGCCCTCAACAATGTTTTAAAACTTCTATGAGGGAGGGCACAAACTCGCTAACTGCGGTGTCCACACCACGCCCCACTGTTCCTCCTGCTACCTCCTCTAGACTGAGTCACATATTTATGCTGTCCACCTGTCTTTAGGGAATATTTGTGTTTATTCCTCATGGCATAGAGTCTTTAGGTCTCCCCAGATGACCTCATATTTGATAGCAAAACCATGATATAAAATGCAGACCCTCACATTCCATCTGAGCGAAGAGTAGCGGTGGTGGTAGTCATGATGATGATGATGATGTTACTGCCTAGAGCGGCGGTGTCCAACCCATGGCTCGTGGGCCACATGCAGCTCGGGATGACTATGAATGTGGCCCAACACAAAATTGTAAATTTACTTAAAACATGATGAGGGGGGTTTTGTGTGATTGCATGTCACAATGTATTTAATGTGTGACCCAAGACAACTCTTCTTCTTCCAGTGTGGCCCATAGATGCCAAAAGGTTGGATACCCCTGGTCAAGGTTGTATAGCAGGATAAACTCTTTTTCCAAAGTCCTTTATATCTACTCTACCCATTTGTAACCACGCAAGAAGGTAGTATTACAGCTGTGTTCTAGATAAAGGAACAAAGGCCTAGAAAAATTGTGAAGCTTTCCTTTGGTCTCACAGGAGTTTGGATCTATTGGGATGGAGTTCAGGGCCAAGCCACCTTCTCCCAGCCAGCACTGTGTCCTTCGTGATAGGAAATGTCCACAGGATGCAGTCACTTTGCTTCACTTCAGAGTGTGGCTTTGTGGAGAAACTGAGGTCTCCCAAAAACCTCTCTAAGGTTTTGTGACAAAGCCAGTTGCCAAAATGGTACTTTAGGCCAGGTCATCTAGATTCAGGAGAGGTACTGTTGGCCTTCTTCCTAAGCAAGTCAAGATCATGATGTCCATGGCTGTATTCGTAATCTATTGGTGTGTAATCAATTACCTCCAAAACTTAGTGACTTAAAAATAACAAACACTTCTTTTTTGGTATATTTTATTGATTATGCTATTACAGCTTTCCCAGTTTCTCCCCTTTTACCCGCCCCCTGCCCTGCACCCCCAGCCCACCAACATTCCTCCCCCTTAATTCATGTCCATGGGTTATACATATAAGTTCTTTGAGTCCTCTGTTTCCTATACCACTTTTGATCTCTCCCCATCTATTTTATGCCTACCAATTATGCTTCTTCCCTGTATCTTCCCCCCATTCCTCCCCACTGAAAACCCTCCATGTGATGTCCATTTCTCTGATTCTGTTCCTGTTCTAGTTGTTTGCTTAGTTTTTGTTTTTGTTGTCTTTTTTAGGTTCATTTGTTGATAGTTGTGAGTTTGCTGTCATTTTACTCTTTGTGTTTTTTATGTCCTTTTCTTAGATAAGTCCCTTTAACATTTCATATAATAAGGGCTGGGTGATGATGAATTCCTTTAACTTTACCTCTCTGGGAAGCACTTTATCTGCCTTTCCATTTTAAATGATAGCTTTGCTAGAGAGAGTCATCTTGGATGGAGGTCCTTGCCTTTCATGCCTTTGAATACTTCTTTCCAGCCCCTTCTTGCCTGTAAGGTCTCTTTTGAGAAATCAGCTGACAGTCTTATGGGCACTCCTTGGTAGGTAACTGTCTCCTTTCCTCTTGCTGCTTCTAGGATTCTCTCTTTATCTTTAATCTTGGGTAACTTAATGATGATGTGCCTTGGTGTGTTCCTCTTTGGATCCAACCTCTTTGGGTCCAACTTCTTTGGGACTCTGGGCTTCCTGGACTTCCTGGAAGTCTATTTCCTCCATTTCTTATCTCACACATTCTATGAAAGATGGGAATCAGGAAGCAGCTTAGCTGGACAGTTATGATTTAGGGTCTCTCATGAAGTCTCAGTCAAGATGTCAGCTGGAGCTGCAGCCATCGAGGGCTAGAGCATCCTCTTCCACACTCACTCACGTGACTCTTGACTGGATACCTCAGTTGCTCACCACATGGGCCTTTGTACGAGACTGCCTAAGTGTCCTCAAGATGTGACAGCTTCCTTCTCCCAGAGTGAGTGACAGAGGAAGAGTGACCCAGACAAAAGCTATAGTCTTTAAAAATATTTTTTTAGAAATGTTTCAATTACAGTTGACATACAATATCACATTAGTTCCAGGTGTAGCACAGTGATGAGACATTTATATGCCTTAGGAAGTGATCAGCCCAAGTAAGTCTAGTACCCACTTGACACCAAACAGTTTTTGCAATATTATTAACTATATATGCTCTAATTCTATATCCCCATGACCATTTTTATAACTGGCAATTTATACTTCATAATCCCTTCACTTTTTTCACCTACCCCTCATCTGGCAGCCATCAGTTTGTTCTCTGAATCCATGAGTTTGTTTCTGTTTTGTTTGCTGCCTGGGTTGGGGGAGGGTTCAACAAAGGAGACAGCTGTCCTGACCCCTGCCCCTTCAGCCCTCACCCTGAAGGTAGTCCATTCAGTTCCTCCCTTATGTCCCTGTCACCTTTCAGCTGCTGCCCCTGCACTAGAGACCAAAGCAAGTGAATTTGTGAGCAAGCGAGTCTGTGTGCAATCCCGTCAAGAGGATGCCTCAGTCTGTAGTAGCCCTCCATCTCACTCGGATGCAGTCTCCACTGTCTTTCACAGCCAGGTGTTATGGGACCCTTCTTCCCAGCACTGGCACCCT